AAGGTTCCAGCTCATTTCCCACCCGGTGAGTCTCCTTGGATCAGGGTAACGGCGGTTGTAGGCAGCGTGGAAAGTCATTCTCAGATTTCCCCCCCACTGGCCACCAGACCCGGTGCACAGGTCACCATGCCACACGGCCCTGGCACGGACAACTCTGTGCCGAGACCCCTCGTGGAAGCTGTCCCGGCTGCCTAAGCTGCCGCGTTTGCTGAGCACCCCGGCATCTGACCGTGCCTCTGCCTGCCCAGCCCCCCAAGACAGACAAGTGGCTTGCACAGGGGAGTGAACGCACAGGCCTTTATAAATGGCAGCCCACGCCTGCCAGCCTCCACCAGGTTCGCACCCTCAGCTGAGGCAGAGACAGGCCCCGGGCACCCACCACCCAACAGCCACTGACAGGCCATCACAGCAAAGCCAGGGAGGAGCCTGCCCCCAGCCTCCTTCTGCAGCTGCCTCCCAAGGGGGCCTAAGCCAGGGCTGAGGCAGGCAGCCGTGTCCTCCTCTGCGAAGGGGGTGAGGGCAGGAGCCCAGCGCTGGCTGCACGGGGCCAGGGAGAAGCCAAGGGTGGCTACCCGGGGCGAGGCGGGGCCTGCAGGGCAGCTGCAGAGCCTCAGTGCTTAAGGGGCGAGTCCAGGCTCTGGGGATGGGACGCCGAGGGGGACGCCGGGGCCCCGGAGCCCCGGGAGAAGCCTCTAGTCTTGCCGAGGCGGCCACAGGCTGGAGGCTTCAGGCTGCAGGGCCCGGGGCTGGAGGAGCTGGTGGACGCTGGCCCAAGGCCTTGGCGGGCGGAGGTCTTTCCCAAGAGCTCCTTAAACACGGAGTCCATGGTCTGTGCCACGGCCTAGAGGGGAGAAGAGAGAGGGAGGGCATCTGGTGAGAGCCTCCCCCAACCTAGCCAGCCCTTTCTCCCATGCCCAGGTCAGGGGGTCACCGCCTGAGCAGGAGGGGGGCCTTCCTCCCTCTGCTGCCCAAGCGTCCACTTGAACAACTTCTCATTCCAAAACCAAAGCCCTCGGCCACCTTCCTGTCACCATGCCCCTCCTCTCCACTGGCCCCAAAGCTGCTGCTCCTCCTCCCCTGCCTGGTTTCCCTCCTGCCACTCTTGGTGTGGCTGTCACGTCTATGACACCTCTGGGGACACCAATAGATCCCCCCTTTTGTCATACCTACGCTCTCCCTGGCTGGGATCACAGCCACCCATTGGCGCCCGGAGCCACCAGTGTGCTGGGGCCTCTCAGGTCAGTGTCCCCCCTGCAGCCCACCTGGCCCTGCTGCTCGCCCCTCCCACCCCTACACCACTTGACTCCTGCTTCCCTGGCATGAGCATCCGTGTGGTCACAGCTGGCATGCTACGTGCTCTTGGGCTCTGTCGTCCAGCTCACACTGTCCCCAGGGATTCTGTCTGAGCCCGGCGGTGCTCAATGGGAGCCCGCAAGTGGGCGTGCTAGGCCTATGAGAGCAGGGAGCCGGGTCTCCCCAGGCTGCCCCCTTGCCAGAGCCACGTCCAGTACCCATTCTCTCCTCCCATGAGAACCACCAGCCTGCCCGGCTCCCCAGCCAGCTACCCACCCCATCTGTCTATCTCTTCCATCTGTCCCTTTCATCCTCCTTGGCCGCCAAGTGCCTGCTAGGTCACTTCCTGTCACGTATCCTGGCTCTAGATGCCATGCCTGCCTGGGACTCCCACTTGCCACTTCCCACTCAAGAACCAAACGTGAAGCCCAAATGCATGAGCCCCTGTGTCCCCCTCCACCCCGCTTCTGGGCTCGTCCTTGCCCTCTGGACTCACACCCTTGCCGGCCTGTCCCTCCCCAGGCTGGGCTCAGCCAGCTGGTCTGAGGCCAGGAAGGGCAGATTTGAACCTTGGGACGAAAAAGTTTGGTTCCTAAGGGGAGGCAGAGACCCCCCCACCCAGGAGAGGCGCCCATCCCCCCCCCCCCCCGCCCCGCTCTCTGCCACACAGCCAGTCCTGGCTCTCACCTTGTCTACCTCCACATACCGCTCCGGGGAGGTGGGGACCAAGCAGTGCCGTCTGTGCCCAGAGGGGCCCCCGGGTGTGCCCAGAGGGGCCTCAGGTGGGGTGCATGGCTCTGGCCTGCAGGGTACAGACAGGGCATGGCCCAGGGACGGGGGAAGAGCGAGGCTGGCCCAGCACGTCCATTCTGTCCTCCTTTGGCGTCCCTCACCCGGATAACTCTCCCCCAGCTGGGCCCCTCTCCACATGGCCAAAGCCAGACCCCAGCCCCTTCTGACCTGGCCCAGCATCTGCTGCCCGGGACAGCCTTGGCTCCCCAACAGCAGTGCTCAGGCCGAGGTGGGCAAGGAGGGCCACCAAAATGAGTCTTCCCGAAGAACCACCCTTCCCTCGCTCACCGATGGACGAATTCCATGGCCAGGAGGACCTCGGGACTGTTCGCCTGCGGCCCCTGGCCCACCTTCTCTGCACTAGGGTGGGAGAGACAGCTCGTTGAAAGCACTCATTCCCGGCCCAGGCTCTGGGGGGCCGGCGGGCTCAGTGCTGGCCAGAAGTGGTCTGGGCCGCCCCAGGCCTAGGGAAGCTAGGACTCGGGGCAGGGGCGGGGGCAAGACACCTGGGGGATGGAGAAGCTGCTCACTCACCCCCCGGGCAGCGTGATGTACTTGTGCGGGATGAGTCCCCGGGCGCCTGAGCACTCGCCCCGCCACCAGTCGCCCGAGGCCCTTTCGTGCAGCCGCAGCACGTCCCCGCGCTGAAAGCTCAGCTCCTGGGCTGTGCGGCCCGTGTAGGCAAAGCAGGCCACGGCCTCCACGACCCCCTCCAGGTCTGGGGAGAAAAGGGGGTCCAAGTTGGGAGGCGGAGGGGGCACCCAGGGCGGGGACAGGATCGGGCCCTCCTCTTCCCCCCCCTCACCATCCTCCTGGGCCAGGGTCCCAGCTTCCAGCTCCGGCTCGTTCTCCCCAACCAGGCCCTCCAGCTGGCCATCCCTGGGGTCAGAGCGAGGCATCTGAGTAGATGAGGGGGCTCCCCTCTGCTGGACCCCCCCCTCCCCCGCACACAAAGAGCATACCCCAGGCAGCTGGAGGAGGGCGGTGCCATGCACTTCTCGTAGATGGGGCCTGGCAGCAGGGTCAGGGGTGGGAAAACCCGGGAGGGCTGCACGATGAGAGTCTGCACCAGCTGGTTCACCCGGCCCTGCAAGGCCACTGGGTCCTGCCCGGCAGGAACGGGCAGCAGTGTCGGCCCGAAGCACACCGCCAGGTTGTAGGGGTCCATCATGTTCTCGTCACTGTACTGAGCCAGGCTGGGGGCACACGCAGGTCACGGGGCAGGGAACGCCCCGCCTGGTGACCCGCACATGCCCCACCGCCCGCCCTCCCCGTCCCCCAGAAAGCACTCACTGGTTGAGGAAGGTGAAGAGGTAGCGCAGGACGACCAGCACCGGTGCGGGCAGCTGGGCCAGGAGACAGCTAACGTGCTCCACCCGCTCGGCCACAGCCTCCAGCTCTGCGGCGCAGGCCACCCCCCACCCCGCCACCCCGGGGAGAGAAGCAGGAGTGAGGCCGCAGCGACAGGAAAGCGGCCCCTCCCGCCCGGCCGGCCTCCAGCCCTGGCCTCACCTGCAGAGGCCAGCAGCTCTCGGAACAGGTCCGGTGGGAAGAGCGGGGGATCCAGGCTCCGGAAGTAGAGCTTCAGCACCCCTGCCACTGAGTCCAGGTCGTGAGCTGTACAGCCCTCCACCAGTGGGTCCTCCCCTGCAGGTGACACAGGGCGCAGGAGGCTGATCACACCAGCTCCGGCTCTCCCCCCACCCCTACCCCCTCCTGCCTGTCCCTACCTCTCTCAAAAGCGTCACGGATCTCTGAGACTCGGGGCTGGGCGCCTGACACCCGGAAGATGCCCTCGTGCTGCAGGCCTGGGGGAGGATGAGAGCCTATGGGTGCCAAGTCCCCTCTCCACCCCCTCGAGGATCGGGTGCCGGGTGGGCAGCAGGAGGGCCCAGGTCTTGCTTACCATTCAGGTTAATGAAGCGGACACAGCTCTCCACCACCAGGGGCACAGGCTGGCCTGAGCTCTGGGGACAGAGAGAGTGCTCACTTCACTGTCCCTCCTTGTCACTGGCTCCCTTGTATTTTCTCTTAACAAGCCGTGATGGTTATTGGCAAGGAGGCCTGGCATGTGTTTTGTGAGATTCACTCCCGGGAGTCTTACACTGTTTGCTCTTTGAATACACACAGAGTGCATAATCACATCATAAGACAGGCCAGCGCTATTTCTTCTTTTCAGACCCTTCTTGCTTCCCTTACTTCGCCGCCTAGGAACCCCAGTGGCACGCTAGCCGAAGCGGGGCTTGTGGGCTCTACTTCTCACATGCTCCTGCCTGAGGCTTTCTGTAGATGCCTGGGGTTTTTTGGTTTTTGTCTGGTTGGTTGTTTTTAAATTATTTATTTGAGAGAGAGAGCGAGCGAGCGAGCATGAGCGGCAGGCGGGGAGAGGGAGAAGCAGACTCCCCACCGAGCAGGGAGCCCGACGCGGGACTCGATCCCAGGACCCCAGGACCGCGACCCGAGGCAAAGGCAGATGCTTCACCGACTGAGCCACCCAGGCGCCCCTCTGTAGATGCCTGCTACTAGTGAAGGATGCTCCCTTCACTCGGCGGAGGCCTGACAGAGGCCCATCCAGAAAGGGACAGTTCACCAGCTGTCGACAGTGGAGGACACCGGGGGTGACAGACAGCCAGGCCACAGAGATGGCCCCGGGCTGGAGAGCAACCAAAATGCAGGGGAGCGCCTGCACTCAGCTGGAGCATGAGGTAAGGCCAGTACCTGGATAAACTTCTCCATGTCTCCCCCGAAGAGTTTCTGGTTATACTGGGAGCTGGGGCGGGGGTGGCGGCTCTTCTGCTGTTTTCTCTGTGTGTACTGGGTCCTGTAGTGGACGGAAGCTGGCTCTGAAGGGAGGGGGCATGGAGAATAGGATGGCCCACCCCCTAGCCCAGCCAAACAGGGCCTTGGAGCCCACGAGTTAGTCCAGAACCCAACGGGCAAAGTGGGAAATGGAAGCCACGGAACGATGAGCAGCAGAGCCAGGCCCCAGGAGAGGGGAGGTGGGGACATGGCAGCTTGGTCCCTGCAGAACCCACTCCTCAGAACACACGGGCCCTGCACGCAGCACGCACTCACCAAGACACCTCCTGCTCCTCTTTGTCACCTGGGGGTAGAAAACATTGGTGCGCTTTTCAGACCAGGAGGTCCTTAATGCACGGCAGAGAGAAAGGCTAACAGGACAGGGGCCAGGAGCCCTGCTGGGTTCTTTCCTACCTGCCAACCAACTTCTCTGGGCAGAGAGGAACATGGGCTGGGTGGGGGCCCCAGGCAGGAGAGCGGAGGGCAGGTGCGCTCCCGGCCCTGGGGGTGGGGCGGTAGGGGCCCAGGGCCAGAAGTGGGGCCCACCTCGCTGAATGGCCTCCTGCAGTTTCTCATGCTTGGCCTGCAGCTTGGCAAGGATGCTTCGTCCACTCAGGTACTCCTGGAGCTTCTGGGAAGCCCGAAGAAGAGGCCAGAGTTTTAATCCCAGCTCTGGGTCCTCCCCGTGCCCCGCCCTGGCCCCCCCAGCTGCCCCTTCCCCACCATGATGTAGAAGGTCTCCGTCTCCTGTTGCTGGCCCCGCCTCCGGCCAGCCTGCCGGGTGCCTGGATCCGAGCTGGTGGACTTGAGGGACTCGGTGGAGGGGGTGGAGGGGCTGGCTTGGAGGGGGTCAAGCACATCCCCGTCTTCCGACGCCATTACCTCCAGCAGGGCCTGCAGTGTGGCCTTCAGAGTCTTGCTCACCTGGCGAGCGGCCAGCACCAGGGCAGGAAGAAATGGGGCACGAGCGAGGGACGGGAAGTCCAAGTCAGAAGGAAGGGGGAGGGGAGGCCACGGCCACCTGGTTCCCTGTCTCCAGGTCCGTGTCCCGACCCCGAGCCAGGGCACTCATACCTCCTCCGTCTCGATGGTCTGCCGGTCCAGGCGGCTCTGGATATTCTGGGCTCGGGGCAGAATCTCGTCCCGCAGCTCCATCTCCAGCCGGATCTCAGCCACCTGTGCGGGGCAGCGTGCAGGGGACTGAGGGCTGAGCCTGGGGGCACAAAGCTCAGGCGTGGGAGTGGGCTGGGCAGTGGGCACCGAGGCCTCTGGGCATGAGGGCAGCATGCACGTTTCCACCGCCTCGGCGGCTGCTGTCCAGGACCCCCCCAGTCCTTGACACATAACACACCCGGCTCTCCCCAAGAGAAAGGAACTCGACCGTGCGCACGGACCCTTGCGTACAGACATGGCAGCACTACTCCTAACAGCCCAAGGACGGAGTGAGCCCAGTGCCTATCGGCTGATGAATGAAAAAGCAAGTGTGGGACATCCATACAATGGAATGTCATTCCGCCACAAAAAGGAGCGGTGTCCTGGCTGATCCATGCTGCATGTAGGTGAACATAGAAGACATTCTGCTCTGTGAAAGAAGCCAGACACAAAAGGCACATATATCATATGATTGCGTTTACATGAAACGTCCAGGAGAGGCAAACCCACAGACACAGAAGGGAGGTGAGTGGGTAACGAGGGGATGGGGCAGGGGGGTGGGGAGTGACTGCTTCCTGGGTCCAGGGTTTCTTTTGGGGGGTGAACGTGTTTTGCAATGAGAGAGTGGTGATGGTTGCAGAACTTGGCGAATATTCTAAAACCCACTGAACTGTACACTTGAAATGGGTGAATTACACAGTATATGATTCATACCTCAATAGAGCAGTTGATTATTTTTTAAAACATGGTCAGGAGGGCTGGGGTCTGAGACCTAAGAGGGAGGGCCTAGCTAGAAAAACTGCTCACTCTAATCAGGCAGAAATAGATTCCCTGTGGCAAAATGCGAGTGCCTTGCCCCGTGGGCAGAGTGGGGGATGGGAGGAGACCGCTTTAGGAAGCGAGGAATGCCTCTCCTTTGAATTTAAGCATCCAGAGAACTCTGACACTGACATCAAGTTAAAATTGAGAGTGAAGACTTCGAAGGCGCCTGGGTGGCTCGGTCGTTAAGCGTCTGCCTTTGGCTCGGGTCATGATCCCAGGTCCTGGGATCGAGCCCCGCACTGGGCTCCCTGCTCCACGGGAAGCCTGCTCCTCCCTCTCCCACTCCCCCTGCTTGTGTTCCCTCTCTCGCTGTGTCTCTCTCTGTCAAATTAGTAAATAAAATCTTTAAAAAAAAAAAAAAAGGAGAGTGAAGACTTCACTTATCCACGGCAAGCTAAACATGCCCCGCTCTCTGTCCTCCTCAAGCCCCACTGGAAAGGGACGTGGGAAGGCCTAGGTCATGGGGATACCAGGCGAGGCCGGCACTGGAGAAGCCACCAGAGCGGCAGAAATGCCACCAGACCGAGGTGGCAGGCACCTGGCAGGCACAGGAGGTACAGAAACCAGGACCTGCTAGAGTCTGTCCGGGAAACAACACCGTGGCTCCTCAAACAATTATACCTACACTCACCATAGGAGCCAGCAATGCCACTTCTGGGTGTTTCCCCAAAAGAAGAGAAAGCAGAGGCTCCAAGAAAGATTTGCACACTCGTGTTCACAGCAGCCAAAAGCAGGGAGCAACCCAAGTGTCCATGAAGGGATGAATGGACAAGCGAAACGTGCTCTGTCCATATAATGGCATGTTCCTCAGCCTTAAAACGGAAGGGGATCCTGTCACAGGCTACAACATCCATGAACCTCAAGGACACTACGCTGAGTGACACCAGCAAATCACAACAGACAAATACAGTATGAGTCCACACGCATGAGTGATCGAGAGTAGTCTAGATCTAGATTCAGAGAGACAGAAAGTAGGACGGTGAGCGCTGGGGGGCTGGGGGGGGCGGGCGAGTGTCTAACACGGACAGTTTCAGTTTGGGGAGATGCGAAAGTTCTGGAGATGGAGGGTGGGGATGGCTACACAACAATATGAATGCGTTTAATGTCACTGAACATCGCACTTAAAAATGGGTAAAATTGGGGCACCTGGCTGGCTCAGTCAGTAGAGCATGTGACTCTTGGTCTTGGGGTCGTGAGTTTGAGCCCCACGTTGGCTACAGAAATTACGAAAAAAAAAAATCCATCCATATATATATATACAGCTAAAATAGTTAAAATGGTAAGTCTCATGTACGTTCTATCAGAATTATAAAAAAAAAAGTCTCTCCAGGCTCCAGGAAACATTAACATTAGAAGACCCTCCCCCAAACCCATACAATTAGCAGAAAAGTAGAGATTTAGCCTCTGGAAAGGATAAATCAGAGGGATTTTGGACTTAGGGACACTAGTCACAGCTAAAGAAGGGGACAAAACTTCCTACTGATGAGAAAGAAGAAAGCAGCCACTGCCATCTGGAGCCGCCCAGATGGGACGTGGTGTTATCCTACTGAACATAAGGAATGTCACAGAGCATCAGCATCAGACAAGGTCACTCTGTGACCATGAGAGGTGACAACAAAAACAAGAACACCTCATAATCACATCCGAGTGCAGACAAAAACAAGAACTTTGTCCGAGCCACAGAAATAACCAAACCTCCCTCTGTTCAGGCTAACAGGAGTGTGGGCTGCTTTAGCCTCCCTTCATCCCCCACCCCCCCAACTCCTGCCTTCTAGATAAGATTTATGAAGACATACAATCAGAGTTATCCCTTCTTCCCAACAGTATCTAGGCCGAGTCCCTCTCCCAAATCCCGTAACCTCAGCCCAGGTCCTACTAGTCCTTTCTAGCACCTTCCTACCAGGACACCCCAGGCTCCCCACCATGGGGTTCTCCCTCAAAGCGATGGTCTAAGTCCCTTCCCTGAGGGGAAGCCCCCGTTGACAAGCTCTGCTCATGAGCATCAGATATCTCATCTAATCTACCTCCCAGCAGCTCCTCTTAAATATGACCTGATGGCCAAGAATTGCCAGCCGTTTGAGGGAAGCTCTAAAATGAAAGAAAAAAAAAATGAAATGAAAGAGAAAGACGAAAGCAAGCTTTTTTTTTTTTTTTTTTTAGCTGTAAGAAAACAGAAAATGCAGAGAGCAGAGAAAAATGTCAAGAAAACAAAAATGAGGGGCGCCTGGGTGGCTCGGTTGTTAAGCGTCTGCCTTCGGCTCAGGTCATGATCCCAGAGTCCTGGGATCAAGCCCCTCATCGGGCTCCCTGCTCGGTGGGAGGCCTGCCTCTCCCTCTCCCACTCCCCCTGCTTGTGTTCCCTCTCTCACTGTGTCTCTCTCTGTCAAATAAATAAAATCTTAAAAAAAAAAAAAACAAAAATGAATGTTTCAGAATGATTTGAGAAAACATGATGTCCACAAGACAAGAACCAAGGGTTATTTTAAATAGGAATTTGGAAAACAAAGCAGAACTAAAAGGTATAGAGGTAGGAGAGGAGGAAAGAGAAAAGGTAAGAAAATTAGAGAATCGACCCATGAGGTCCAACATCCAATTACAGGAATTCCTGAAAGTGAGAGAAAAGAAAATTAGGGGAGGAGATGATCAAAGGAATAATATAAGCCCAAAACCTAAGGCCACAGTATTCTAAACCGACAATGCCCCCCGGTTGCCCAGCACGGTGAAGGATAAAGGATCCCCAAGGAGCATCATCACAAAATTTTATCAGGCAGGGAAGAGACTCCTAAAAACTTCAGGGAGAAAAATCGCAGGTCACACACAAAGGATCCGAAATCAGAAGGGCGTTGGACTTTGCACCGACAATGCTGAAAGCCTGGAGCAATGCCTTCAACGGTCGAAAGAGAAACTTATTCTCAACTCTGAATTCTATATCCAGCTAAACTACCAACCAATTTCAAGGCTAGAATACAGGCATTTTCAGACAAGCAAAGTCACAAGCTGCCTGGGGCGGTGGACGGAAGGAGAGGAGCTGGGGGTAGGGCTGCGCGCCAGGCTAGCCGGCTGTGGAAAGAAGTCTGTTGACAAGCAACTAGCAGCATGCTGTGCAATTTGAACACAGGGAGGGAAGCCCCAGAAACAGCAGCTAGGGGACGGCAGGGAAGTGGCTGTTTCTGGGGAGTGGAATTGGGAACAGAAAGAGTGAGTCGGAGAACTGCCAGGGGCCATCATAAGCCTTGAGTAACATTTGACTTTGTCAACTATGACTCGGATCAATATACAGATTAAAAAGCTAAAAGCTCTGTGCAATCCCTGTCCATTCACAATGCCCATTTGGACAAACTGGTAAAGGAAAAAAAACAGCTCAGGGACAAGTGAAAAGATGCTAGCTATATTCTATTGCTTGTACGGTTTATTTCCCTCCAACTTGGTATTATGAATTGTCTAAAACATGCAGAACACTTGGACAAAGACTATATGGACAGCTAGATACCCACCTACTACCTGGTGTCCACCTGGTGATAGTTTTGCTGTGTTTGCTGTGGTGGGGAGGTTGCGTTCAGCCAATGAACAGCAGAAGTTTGCCTGCTTCAAATGCAAGTGGTGAAACTTCTAGGGAGCCTCATTTGCCTCGAGGCCATTGAATGAGGGTCTGAGAAATAAGCTGCATTCAGGAGTTTCGACTCCTTAGCAAAGTGGGATTCATTCAACTTAACCGCTGTTACAATGAAGACCAGAGAACACAAAGCCCTTTTCGTCCATGCCTGGGGGGCGGTGACCCTCACCTCATCTCCCTCATGGGGGTGGTAGTCAAAACGCTGTGGGGGACAGAAGGCATCGGCATGCATCTCCAGCACCTTGACCTTGTCCCCTGGAGGATCTAGGGCCTCCACGGCCTCTTCCAGGCTGCCCAGGCCCTGCATCTGGGAGACTTGGGTGTGGCTCTCGGCAGCCGCGTAGCTCCGGAGCACCTGCCCCAGGGCTAAGTGGAATCCTGTGTCACAGCACTGGGGAGGAGGCAAGCACATGGCTCAGGTGGGCCCCAGTGCATAGCCCCCCGCCCCCCAGCCTGCCCACCCGGTACTCACATCCATGAGGTCCATGACGTCATGCAAGTAGTAGTTGCTGACGGCAGCATTGACACTGGCCAGGCTGAGCAGGTACTCGTTGCGTGCCTTCGTGCACTTGAGTTTGTGCTCCAAGAACTTGGCCTGACGCTGCTCAAGACCACAAAAGTACACCAGGGTCACCTACTCGGCCAGCCAGCCAGCCCCCATCTCAGGCCTTCCACGGACTCTCCACACTCCCCTCCCCATGTGGACATGTGCCCCCGATGTCCCACAGGCCCCTCAGAGCACATGGCCCCGAAGGCCCAGTGTCCTCCCTTGCCCCCCCCTGCCCCCCCCCCCGCCCCCGCCACGCAGAAACTCTCCCATCTCGGGCTGGCATCCCCCGTTCTGTCTCAGCTCCTCCAGGCTTGGTACATCCCCAACCTTTCAGGGGCCACCTCAAACATTCTCTCCATGCACATCACCCAACCACCCATCCTATGTGTCTTCTTGCCCCTCTGAGACCTGACAGCACTGTGCAAGGCAGGGATGGGTGGGTGCAAAGGCTTCCTGACTTGGGAGCACCAAAGCTCTCTTCACTCCAGCTGGGTAGGGGAGGACTGTTCTCCTGCCACCCCCCACCCCGGTACCGCATCTACCACCCTAGGCTGGAGAGCCCTCGAAAGCCAGCAGAACTGACTAGGCCCCAGCCTTACCAGCCCTGCTTTCTCCCTCCCTGCCCCACCTCCCAGCAGGTCCCAGGGAGAGCCAGGGATTCCAGGGTCAAAGGTTAGAACCAGAGCCTTCGAAGACAGACAGGTGCCCTCCAGGCCCACCTTTTCCACCAGCCGCCCTCCCTTCTTGAGGGAGCTCTTGCGGAGGGGTCCTGCCTCAGCGGTGGTGGTCGTGGTGGTGGTGGCGGCGGCGGCGGCACTCCGACCCGCCCGCTTCTCCTCCTGCCGCTCGGCTTCCCGGAGCTTGGCCTCGGCATTCACGCTCTCCATGTGGTACACCTGGTATGTCTTCTTGGCCTGCAGGGAGGACCAAGGCCAGGCTGCCCTGCTGAAGGCCATGGCCACAGCCAGCCCTCCCACTCCTCCTCCCAGCCCACCTGGGATTGAGACCTGAGAGCTAGCCGACCCCATGTAAGCACTTGGGCCGGCCACCCTGTGCCCAGAACAGGGAGAGACGGCCGTGCTTGCAGTCCCCCCACAAACCCGGACTCTCCTGGGTACTCAATCCTCTTCCTTGCGCCTGGCTTGGGGGGGTGCGAGATGATGGCCTTGCTCTGATGGGGGCGGGCCCCGCCCTGTGCTCACCGTCTGAAGCTCCGACACCACCTCCAGCAGCTCCTCCTGCAGCTGTTGCTCCAGATCCTTACTCTGAGGAGGATGCCGAGTGTGAGCAGGGCGCCGTCCCAGGGCAGCTGGGCCAGCGGGCACTCAAGGCTCCGCCCAGCTCCCCTCTGCCTGACACCCGCCGGGCCTCCCTCGAGCCTGGGGCCACCCGCACCTGCTGCGCCCAGGGCAGAGGCCTTACCTTCTTGATGATGCGCCCCACATCCTCTGCGATGTGACTCAGGCGCTGGGCCAGGGGCCCGGCCAGCACCTCGCTGAGGGTCGCGCTCTCCCGGCTCTGCTGCCGCGTCTGCTGCAGCAACACGGCCCAGCAATGCAAGGGCGAAAGGAGGGACGGCTCCTTCCTGGGGCAGAGGGGCACTCAGGCCGGGAGCGGGGCCCTCGGGCCCTGCTGTGGCCCTCCTGCCCCGCGAGTACCTACCGGAAGCTTTGGTGCTCCCGGCTGCTGCCCCCAAGGCGGCCGCCGCGGCCGGAGAAGCGCTCTGCCAGTTTGTCCAAGCCCCGGGAGTACTCCAGCTCCACCTCGGCGCGCCGCCGCATGAACTCGGCCAGCTCCTGCAGCAGCTCCCGCCGCAGCTCCCCCTGCAGCTCCAGGCAGCGCAGCTGCTCGCTCAGCTGCCAGCGCATCTCTGCGGGGGACGGCGGCTCAGGCCTGGGGAGGGGTGCCCAAGCCCCGGGAGGGGAAGGAGGCTGGCCTCCAGGGGGGTGTTCTGCGCTCAGGCTAAAGGGAACAGGCCAGGCCCACCCAGCTGAAGAACAGGAAGGCTGCTCTAAGGAGAGAGGGAGCCCGGCCGATGTGCTGTGATGGTGGGAGCACAGAGCTGCCCCAGCCCCGTCTCACCCCGTCCCCAGCCCCATCACTCCACGGTTCTTGGAAAGCCCCTGACTTGTTTGCTCTGCCACTTCCTGCCTTCCGGGTGCCTGGGACCCCAGGCAGGGTAGCCTCCTGCGAACACACACACACGCACAGGGCTGCGTGCGGGCAAAAGGCTGTCACGGCGCTCTGCCGAAGCTGCAGTCAACTGGTGGCCTTCGTGGCCGGGAACCCTGCTCTTGGCCCCCCAAGGGCAGCCACACCGTGGCCGGAGCGAGCTGGTTGGAGCTGACAAGTGAAGGAACTGAGAGAGCTGGCCTGCTTTCCGTCTCCGGTCCCCACTCCCCATCACCCACCCCACCTCCCAGCAGAAAGAGCCACACCCAGGGCCCCCACACCGCTGGCTTTTGACACCTTATCGCTGGCTTGATTTGGCAACACTGCTTTCCCCACTAAAGCAAAGAACCGCCTGAATGACAAGCTTAAGCAACCTGCTACAAACACTTTTGCCACCCACTGGGTGCCCAGGTGGGCACTGGGGATCCCAGGTAGTAACACTGTCTGGGCTTCTGGCAAACAGGTCACCCACTGACTAATCTCCATCCACATACCCAGGGACGGACGGTAGTTGATTTCTCCATTCCGGAGATTGTTGATTACATACCCAGTCTGTACCGGGCATGTTCTAGATGAGGACGTAGAGCGGCAAAGAGGGTTGACCAAGTGCTTGCCCTCATGAAGCTGGGATGGGAATGGGGGTACAGATCACAAGTGGACAGGGTCATCTGGGTGGCTCAGTCAGTTAAGCGTTTGACTTCAGCAGCTCAGGTCATGATCTCAGGGCTCTGCATTCAGCGGGGAGTCTGCTTCTCCCTCTCCCTCTGCTCCTCCCCCCACTCATGCTCTGTCTCTCAAATAAATAAATAATATTTAAAAAAAAAAACAACAGATCACAAGTGGACAGATATATCCTAGAATGTCCAGGAGCAAGGGGTGCTGAGGATGCAAACAGCAAGGTGAGGTCAGAGCTGGAGGTGGGGGCGGGAGGGGTTCTCTTAGAAGAGGGTGGTGGGGAGGTGAAGGAGGTGACAGAGGGGCCACAGGGCCATTTGGGAAAAGTGTTCAGGCCAAGAAAAACAGTGAAGGCTTTTGGACCCAGTGTGGCTGCTGGGGGCAAAGTGGAGACGTGCAAGAGGCCCGTGGTGAGGGAAGGACGTCCGGCTGGCACCGAGGGAGAGAGCAGCCACAGCACCGGGGCCAAGTGGGGAGGCCAGGCAGAGGTCAGGCGACAGACACAAAGTGCCCAGCCCAGCTGGCACCTCCTGAACCAGTCCAGACAGAAGATGGTGAGGGCTCAGACCAGGGAGCGGAACTGGCAGGAGGTGAGAAGGGGCGGGACCCAGGGTCCACTCAAAGAAGTCCACTGTGACCAGCTCATTGCCAGTGCTGTTGGCATTTCTGTCCTGCCAGTGACTTCCCGGGGGCTGTGGGCATGCGGCAGCCTCCAGGGGTTGTGCCTGCCTGGCATCCCCATCGCCTCCTCCGATCTCCCTCTGGAGAATGTCTCCTTCCTATTCTCAGCCCCTGGGTCCCTCTCCCAGACGCGGCTGCACACACAGTCCTTCAGCCCCTCCCCGCCCCCAGCACTGGCTCAGCGAGGGGCTGGGGGCCACAGTCCTCATGCCTTCCCTGGAATTACTGAACAGGAGAGCTCTATTTCCACCGCGGGATCAGGCTGGGTAAACAGAAGCCAGAGGTGGGGGGGTGCTTCCTGACAGTGAAACCAACACAGAGCAGGGCAGAGCCAAGTGAGGCAGAGTCTCCCTATACCATCTGAGGCCAGGCTCTGGGGGCTGGCTCTCGGCTCCACGGGTCAGGTGGAGTGGGCTCCATGCCCCTTGGAATCTGGACATTCTTCACTGAATCAGGGTAACATTTCGGGGATAAAAGTACATCTCATTTCGTTCTAAGCAAGACCTGAGATGTCCCAGCTCACCTCACCTTCCTCTGCTGTTTGCCCCGCCCTCCCAGGGCAATCTTTCCCTGGAGACCAATTGCAACTGAACAGTGCTGAATAGAACAGCCATGTGTGGGTGGGTTGGAACCTGGATTCACACACTGGCTGGTGTCAAGAAGATCCTTGACTGGGGCTTGGCCCCCAGCCTCTGGGCTGTCACTATCCAGCTCTCAGATCTCAGCTCAAATGCACTCATCATCAACCCCTCCCTGACCTCCCCCAAACTAGGTCTGGCCCTCCTCCCACGCCCTTTCTTGACATCTGTGCTTTCCCTTTATAGTGGTTGTCACCATATTTGAACCTGATTGTGTTAGGGGTTTTTGCTACATGTCTCCCCACAGACCCTGTGAGCCCTGTGAGGGCAGGGGCTGGTTCTTTTGCTTAGCACTGTATTCCCAGGGCCTAGGCAGAAGAGATGCATGCAAAACATCTGTCAAAAGGAAGGATGGAATCCACATATGCTTGCATTGCAGAGCTGGGTCCTGGGCCCCACCAACACTTCCTGTGAGCAAGGCATACAGTCTCACTTCTGCTGACAAATAAAGCAAAAGAGAAGATGGCCACCGAAACCACGACTATGCTGACCTTTCAGAATTTAGGGTGTCAAGGCAGTGATCCTTTTTTTTTTTTTTTTTTTTTTAGTATGGTAAATAGTTTCTTTGGCAGGGAGGAAGGGTTTAGAAGCTAAAGTCACTGGAGACCCAGAGCAGGCAAGGAACAATTTTAAAGACAGCCTGGCTCAAATTCCCAATTTTTCAGCATGAATTAACCGGTCCATATTTGCTGACTGAAGAGTTTCCAAAGTCCTTCAGCTTCCTGACATTTTGGGGAAGCAGGATGGGGGGTCATTATCTCCACCTGAGAATGATGAAGGCAAGGCTTCTCTCACCCTGCAAAGTCACCTCAAGCTGGCTCTGGGCAGCAAGCCACCTTTTCCAGATGGGGAGGACTCAGGCATACTTTGGTGTAAATTGCTCGAATTGGATAATTATGTTAGAACTGCATCTCGGGGCACCTGGGTGGCTTGGCTGGTTAAGCGCCTGCCTTCGGCTCAGGTCATGGTCCCACGGTCCTGGGATCGAGCCCCGCATTGGGCTCCTTGCTCACCGGGGAGCCTGCTTCTCCCTCTGCCTGCCGCTCCCCCTGCTTGTGCTCTCTCGCTCTGACAAATAAATACATAAAATTAAAAAAAAAAAAAAAGAACCTGCATTTCTGGGTGGGAAGGAACTTCAAGGTTCATTTCCTTCTCCCTCCTAGGGGTTGTTATTGCCGTATGACCAAGTGCAAAGCACTTCTCCCTGAGCTTCAGTTTCCTTCATCGGTAAAAGGGAGCAATTAAGAGTGATATATGGGGTCACACATCTGAAGACACAGGAAAACTTTATGGTCCCAACTGTTGGCACTTGGATGCTACCTTCTTTCTTTTGGAAGAGTTACCACGCCCTGGATAAGACAGGCAGAAGCTGTCGACTAAGAATTTGCAAAGCTGATTTGCATGTGATTTGCACAAAGTGATTATCAGAACCCAAGGAGGTCTACCCTCAGAAGGCTTTGGAGCTGGCCCTGCTCAATCTCTAAGGCTGATATCCACTGTGCCAGTTTGACCCAGAGACAGCGGCCCTCAGCTCTGAGCCACCTCAGTGCCCAAGAGAGGGCAAAGGAACTGGTTTCAAGGCAAAGCCATCACTAATCCAGGCACCTTAGGCACTCAGACTCCTTTGCCTGGACCTCCTCCGCAAAACCAAGGTGCTCGATTTCACTCTGGCTACAATGTCACTTTCTGGGGGGTACCGGGTGCCCCCTTCCCTCACTCGGGCTCTTGGGTGAGGTGCAGGGAGAACCAAGGAGGGCAGAGTAACCAAAGGAAGGGAGGGAGGAAGGAAGGAAGGGGAAAGAGCCCGCGGTTGAGACCAAAGGGGCGCGGAGAAGCGCGCAAAGAGCTCAGGCGGGGG